TCGTCAAATTCATTGATATATGCCTTATTTTGGCCTTTGTAAAATATTATAATTATGGACTTATAAATGTAGAGCCTGATGAAGAAGTTATTGAAAACAATTGTTCGCTCAAATATTCTTCATTTTTGAAAGATTAATAGTTAAATTAGTGTTGATATTAGATAGTCGTCTGCTTGTATGTGGTCTATATATATTAGAGATAGGACTTGTTTATGATACAGTTACAAGAATATTCCCTCCCAAGTGCACATCAATTAACGAGTGGAATAAAATTAAAGTAGTTTGTTTTGTATTTAGTGATTAATTGGAAATTGAACAAAATATTGAAGACATTTAGATACAAGATTTAGATTCCATCTCTTGTCAATTGTTTTTTCGGCTATTTTTCAAGCTAAATTGTTAAACTGAAAAAAACACAACTTAGTCTTGAAGTAAACAAGTAATTTTTTATTCAGTAAAACAGTTTAAGAGGTATTTCATTAATTCTAAAAAAAAGTCATTCTAAAACCTAATTGTGACAGGGAAATATTTTCAAAGAATAACTCGCAGTTCTTCTGAACAGCTTCAATCTGAGGATGAATACTCACTGATGGTATGATTCAGTTTTGGTGCACCATATGATGAAATAAATAAAGTTGAAGTGTTCATATGGAAACATGTTCACCATGTAGCGGGAATATTCTTATAGAAAGGGAGGCACGCTGTTGAAGAGATGATAAAAGCTTAGTAATTAATGATATTTTTTAATTTACACTTTTGAAATCACTCAAACATGCTAAGAAAGTTGGTTCTTTGTAATGAAGAGAATGCTATTTTTTTATAAATGTTGTCAACAGAACACATAATTTAGAAATTTTAATGAAAATAAATGTATTTTATGAACACTTGTCTAACTAATTTGACCTTTATTTTGTTTTTACGAGGGGGAGATAACAATCTGTAACACAGTTTTGTTGTTTTCAGACTCTTCTTCAACTACATACAAGTTAAGTTTTTATTATCAGTTGTTAGTTTGCGTCTGTTTGTCTGACACTTTATTTTATTTACTGTGTTATCCCATCTATACACATATTCATTCATTTGTATACATCCAAGCATTATTATACAATATAAATAAAGATACATACATGCAGTTATAGAGACTAGTTTTGTGTATAGCTTTGGTAAATCAATGATTTAAAAGCTCAATGTCTTGAATGAAAGCGAATTTGTATAAGTCCGGGTTTCTGAAATTATTATGTACATGCTTATTTACAAATATCACTCAGCGCGCGTGTGTATGTGATACAGAAAGGGGGTTTAAAATAATTGTAAACTTTAATGAATCCTTCATTTACGATAATATGGGAAAAATATAATTATTCAAATCCACTGGTCCTATGGTTGTACAAAGTGTGTATTACAAAAAACTATGGTCTATTTAGTTACAAGAAATCGTAGACTATTATAATTTCATCACGGATTGTTTATTTTGAACAAGTTGAATAAATAATACTTTTGGTAAGAAAACTATTTTTATTCATCCAATTATGAGCATATAGAGTCAGGTTTGTTGATCATAAATTTATTCATTCAGTCAACATGACGTATGAAAGAAAGGAGAATTGAAGATTTCAATGAACATAATCCAACGTCTACCTTTTTTAAAAAAAAGAGATTAAAATATAGGAATGGATATATGACAGTGGCTATTGGTTAATAGTACTAGTAATCATTGCTATTTCAGTTTGTTCGCTTACCAGTGCCTTTTGCTTTATATCGTGAATACGGTTGCAAAAGCTGATAAGAGAAAGCATGAGATAAAATGAATACATATTACCTTACAACAACGTTTGTTATTGCTCTAGTTTTAATACTTACTGAATTTCAATTTTGCACTGATAATATGAATGAAACATACCCGTCAGTCTGCATTCCAACATATTCAACTGTTCAGTCGACTATATATATATATGTTCGTTCCAAGCTATCAGATAAAGTGTAGAAAAAAAGACAACATCTAACATTAATTATGTTATCTATATAGTGCTTCATGACAAAATAGTATTTGTACAAGAATGGTCATTGATGTTTAAAGCAAATATAGATTTTTCTTAATTCCGGAAATGACTAATTAAGTGTAGATTCGAAGTAAACACTAATGATATTGTTCATTAGAATAAGACGAACACTTCACAATTAAACGATCTAGTACAGAGAACGCAAAGCTCTTACAATAATCAAATCAAAAAAATTCATTAGTCTGCACAATTTGTTCTAATATTTATTATTATTTATTTCGAGTAAAAAAAAATTCACTCAACTTATCCTATCTATTTTTAGGATATGGGGTCACTTTTCCGGAAGTAAATAATTTTCATTAAAAATCTCCTGTTTATTCATCTATTTAGTCAATTATATATCATCAAGGGTAACACAAGGATAGTTTGTTCCTCTTTTTTTCTTGCTCACTTTGTCTACGCTTCTCTTTATTAAACTGTCTATACTCTACTAACTTTCTCATATACTTTTCTTATATATTAATAGCTAGTATAAATTTTTGCTTAGTTGCAAAACTTTTACACGAAGCACCCTTTGTTCATTTCGTTTTTGTACATATAAATTAATTATTTATGCTTACAAATATTCTACAAATGTGCGCGCGTGTGTGTCTATGACGTACTCTTGTGCATGAGTATGTATGTATATTATTGCATGTCTGTTTAGCAAACTTGTAAGAAATGTATGCCAAAATCTTTGAGAAATTGAGAAATACATTTTAAAAAATTTACTTAACAGTTACAGTGAATAAGTTGTCTTATGCTTCGTGTTTTTGATGGAGTTTTGTTCTCTGAGCCGGATGGTTTGGATCCAAACCATCCGGCTCAGAGAACAAAACTCCATCAAAATCACCCACCTAAGCTACAAATCTTCTCTACCATCCCAAAATGATTCGTGTTACTTGACTTTTTTGTATTAATCATCATAAGTAAAGTGCTCAGTCCTTGTTAGAAATATGTTTTTCATCTCTCCTTATATATACATATATATAAGTAATAGGCTTATAATCAAACTAATTTATCAGTAAAAATGTGCAACAATGGTTGTTAGTTTCAGCTAATAACAAAATTTCCGAGAGGTGCAACCTACACATTTATAATTCTCACTGTTCTAGTGACGTGAAGTTCGAAGAATGATGTTATTCGACAATAATTTGAATGTAAACTGGTTAAATGTATTGTTTAATAATCAATAGTCATTAAAACACAAAATTTCAGTTTGTTGTGGTTGAAATCACCTTCAATTTAAATGTTAATAAAAATACTTATCGTTCATTCAATAGTGACCGGTGGAACCATTTCTACTTAGAATTAAACCAGGATCTCACAAATGATATTAAATGAAGAAAGTAACTATGCAGGGTCTACTGAATATGCAGTGCAAAAATTCCACTTCTGACTTGTGTTTCATACTACTTATATATCCAAACATAAGTAACATGTATTACAAATTCAGTTTTACTGAATTGCTGTTCAGTAAGTGTCATGTGTATGCCTCGATATTTGAAGCTTATTGATCGAAGTCTGTGTAAAGTGATTAGTTAGTGGCTTCCTATTGACTACCTCTAACCACCACCTTATCTCAATAGTGTACGCAATGTCTAGTCATGCAGACTAGTGGCCACATTGTAACTTGGTCGATATGATTCGATGTGCATTAATAAGGACCTGACGCACATGACATTGATCACCACCCAGTGATCAATCAATTGAAGTGATTATTGTACACATATATATTACTGAGTAGTAGAATTATAAATATCTATTCAGGGTTCTTCGTTGTTTTTGATAACTTCTTCCATTTGGTGGTGTGAGGATTGAAACTTTAAGGCATTTTTAGTTCATCATAAAAGCCGTGCAGTATTGAAAATTGATTTGAACAGAATGTTATTTTATCGATTGTTTTTATGGTTAAACTAATTACATTGTCAGGAGCTGGTATATGCTATTAATAATTTATTATCATTGTAAGAAGTGTTTTACAAGTTGAAATGTATTGTGATTATGTAATGATATGACTAGTCAACAGTCACTTCAAATATGAGAACACTTTCCAACATTATTTAGGCAAACGATAGGTGAATGGTTTTTCTTTTATCCTTCTATTACACTGTCTATGTCTTTTTGAATTTGTTTATTTCCTCAACTTCTTAATATCTTTAGTCATATAGGTTTAAAATCTTTAAAATATGATTAAGCTAGTGCTTATTTGTATTGGATTTTTTATTGAAACACCCAAATAATGTATCAACTCTTGATGAAAAATTAACTTCAAGTTAATATTTTATTGAAATCATAGTTATAGTAATAGTCAGTCATTCAAGTTCTGTTATAAGTATGAGGATAGTTATCATGCTCTGGTTGCCCACACTATGAAATAATACTTTTTGTGGTGTTTCGAAAGGAAACTGGGTTAAGAGTGAACTTGATAATTTGGAGTTGGGACTACAATACCCGAGCGAAAGCTTCTTGAAGTCGGTCACTTAGTTTTACTTTGAGTAGTCTCAGATGAAGTAGCTTCTCAGACTCTTGTTTCAATTCGAGGAGCAAGGTAGGGAGAGCTATGGTACTTTTAGACCCAACCTTTTCTAAACATCTCTCCTCGTTGTGTGAAGTCATCATCTCTAAAGATGCAGTTTTTCTGGGGGAAACACCTTATTATTGTTAAATCCCTGTACAGTCAGTATTACAACATCTTCCTCAGACCATAAGTTTACTGCTTTTGGTGTTTCCATTTTTCAACTAACTTATTTGACATGACGGGATCTAAAAGAATGAGTGTTCCAACTAGCATAACTCCGTTGAGTCAACACGATATCCAATCTCGACCACCACATCAAGATAACAGCTGCAATCGGGAATCATAGTGAGAAATTTGGGGTGTATTTAAGCTATGTGAATTTGTGAATTATATGTAATCATTTATGCTTTTAGTTTTATTTTGATTATTTTTTGTTTTAGCATTTACATGAATTCGTCGCATATCCAGAATTATTAACACTATCCATAGATCAACTGAGTACGTGTATTTTAAAAGGTTTATCTATGGTTCACTCATTAATTCAATGTACTCTGTCAGTGCCAAAAGAATTGTACATGTTGCAAAAGGACCAGTTAACACTACATGGAACCGTGCATAACACTAAAGACGACGATAATGATAATGGTAATAAGATTCCAAAATCGGATGAAAATAATGGTAAGTTTGTTTTTACGTGCATGTGTGTTCATTTCGTTCATTCTCAATTTGATATCATTTGGTGAGTCATATAATGACCGATGAGTATGGTTTTATCTCTTCTCTTTTATCTATGGTTATATATTCTGCTAAGTTTAATTCGATTAGTATTCTCTCGGTTGTTAAATATTAAATAATAATAATATAATAGTAATGATAATATTAATATCAGCTCCGTTCAGTACTGTAAACCTAGTCACAGTAAATAATTCTCTGCCTCCATTGTACAGTATTGAATCAATTTTCTATTTTCTATACATCCAAATTGGAATTATTCAGAAATTATATTCCATACATGTCTAATCAATAGTCAATATCTTCGACACATCCTCAGTCACGAGAGTATACTATTAATTCAGACGCTACAGGCGAGATTATAAATTATGAACCAGCCAATCAGATTTAAGACGTATCTCGGATTTTGGCGCGAAATTCATTCAGCCATTCGTCTAAATAGCGTTTTGGCATTTTAGCTTATGTCAGTTGGTGATGAAAACCATAAATCTAATTCCTAATTCTAACCATAAATTGTAAATCATAATCCTTATTTTTCACACGAATTTATAACGTTCGTTTAGCTGTAGTAATTAGGTGGACATTCTCAAGGTCACTTTAGTGTTGCTCAATTGTCGTTCATCAATTATAGTCTCACTCTATTTCCATCTCATCCGTTAGATATTGAATGTATGCTTTCCAGTATATTGGTCTCTCGTTTTCTTTTTCAAGTGTTAGACGAGAAGGGGAATACGCATACAAGTTTAGTGTTTCTGTTTGAAATTTCTGGTATTTAATAACACGATGTGTTATAAGCCATTCGTAATATCGTGTGAGTACTAGGATGAAACGGCCGTCCAGTGCTTCCAGGTTTTCAATGGTGGTCTAGCTTCAACTGACTCATGATTTCAACTTGTGATATATAATAAATAGTTTAAACATTTCTGTGTAATAAAATAAATAGGATATTGTGAATCTCATCTATACAGTAAATATTATTAGACAACAAATGTATGCTTCTTATAATGTACTTAATTCCATCACAGATATTTTGAATTAGTGAATTTATCATAATTGAAATAGTAACAAGATTCACTGAGGTAAGATGAGAAGGCATGAATATGTGATATAAGATTTCATGAATTTCATTGTAAATCTACTAGCCAGACGACATATGAGCAATAAAAATGTTTCAATACATTTGTTGAATTAGTGTGTGTTTGTGTGTGTACATTCACCGGTGAAAGCATTCTTTTTGTGAACATCAACCATTTGTAAATAGCATATTTCTTAAATCAATGTGTATGAATAATAAATGAAAAATGATTAATTGAAATCATGAATCGATCAATGTTAGACCACCACTAAAAACCTGGAAGGGGTGGACGACTGTTTTGCTCTAGTATGGGATACCTTAGCAGTACACACTTATGGTCCTGAACGCGGGACTTTAGTTCAGGACTTACGCTTACGTTCGGATGCTTAATCTCTAGACCACTAAGTCGGCATCCAACTGTGTTAATGTCTAAATTCAACCAATTCACGATATTGCGTAACCATTTTCCATTGCTTTCCATGGGTAACTGCCTCACATCTAACATGGTTGAATTCAACTGGTCACGGCTTCTCACTAGAATTCCAAGAATCGCCTCTCAAAGCTAGTCGCTATTATACACATAATAATAATCAGTATAGGGTTGTAGATTAAGTTTTTTTATTAACTGAGATCATGAAGCGATCATGATCTCAATTTAAAAAAAAACTCAATCTCTACAAGTCTATACTCATACAAACGATTAAATGAATAAGGATTGTACAGTTTTAACGTTTAATTTTGCTACTTTAGTTATCATTTCACTATTATCATTTTGAACTATTTGTATACTTCCTCCTTAATCTGTTGCATATGTGTGCATGTTTGTATTTGTTCGGCAATAGAATCATATTAGTATGTGAAAATTTTTATTAAATTGTAATTCTTTTGACCTAGTTCTAAATCTCCCTCTTTCACGTCATTTGAGAAACCTAATAAATATGAATAAATGCTATTAATAAGAATTCATCTTATCATTTATAGCTTTAGGCTAAATTTGCTTAACAGTAGGTGTATAATTTCAATTTTGTCAAATTCATTCGTTTACTTTAGTCTAAATATTTATTTTCTCTTTCTTTCTATCTGTTATTTGTTTTGAAATAACTGAAGGTGGCTGAAATATAAAACTGAATACTTTTTATTTATTCTCAGATTCATTGAATTCACAAATTTGTTAGATTTATGTTGATTTTGTTGTATTTTCATAATATGACACTAAAATACATTACTAGGGATACTATTTCATAACTCCAAGGAATATCTAACTTATATTATTGTCCAACCGGATTATTCAATAAATATTATTTCCATAGCCTAAATCGCGAACTGATCGTAGTTAGATCACCATTAGTTTGCTGACTCATGGTTACTCATTGAATGTACTTGTAATCTCTAATACACTGTTATCCTCAATGATGCATGAATTTCTATCTACAATATTTTTTTTTGATTGCGTTGACGTAATTTTGTATCTACCTTGAAAAGTTGATCGATAAGACTCAGTTCTGAAAATATGACAATAACCTATCAATTTACTGACAAGTAATTATCTAAAGTTGTAACACAACAACTTGGTAAATTTTTACAGTTGGTTCTATTGAATTAATAACTGTACAAGAAAAAGGATAAATAGGCCCAAGATTCTGTGTAAAACTAATCTTAATTTATTCTTTCTGGTTAAAGAATATTTACCTAAAACTTGAAAATAGAAGAATTTTTAACATAAATTAGGCGCATCAATAATTAATAGTTGGAAACAATCAAATGATAAGTTAGGGGAACACTCAATATAAGTTCACTATTAAGCTAGTATTTTTAGAACAGCAATAGATTTGTGATGGTAATAATTTCTGAACAAACTGATCACACATCTAGCTACACTACACGTTGTCTGAGATAGTGAGATGTATAATATTGTTGTGTTAAATTTCCCAATGATTACATGGATTTTTTATGTACAGCAATGCTTATGATATCCAGTTCATAAAAATTAAGTAAAAATTATGTATTTCGTTTGTTAGCTATTGACGTTATGTTTTCCTGAATGCGATTCCCTTACTTACTTACTTACTTACTTACTTACTTACTTACTTACTTACTTACTTACTTACTTACTTACTTACTTACTTACTTACTTACTTACTTACTTACTTACTTACTTACTTACTTACTTACTTACTTACTTACTTACTTACTTACTTACTTACTTACTTACTTACTTACTTACTTACTTACTTACTTACTTACTTACTTACTTACTTACTTACTTACTTACTTACTTACTTACTTACTTACTTACTTACTTACTTACTTACTTACTTACTTACTTACTTACTTACTTACTTACTTACTTACTTACTTACTTACTTACTTACTTACTTACTTACTTACTTACTTACTTACTTACTTACTTACTTACTTACTTACTTACTTACTTACTTACTTACTTACTTACTTACTTACTTACTTACTTACTTACTTACTTACTTACTTACTTACTTACTTACTTACTTACTTACTTACTTACTTACTTACTTACTTACTTACTTACTTACTTACTTACTTACTTACTTACTTACTTACTTACTTACTTACTTACTTACTTACTTACTTACTTACTTACTTACTTACTTACTTACTTACTTACTTACTTACTTACTTACTTACTTACTTACTTACTTACTTACTTACGCCTGTTACTCCTCGTGAAGTAACATAGGCCGCTCACCAGCATTCTCCATCCAACCCTGTCCTGGGCAATCCTTTCTAGCTCCTTCCAGTTCCTATTCATCCTTTTCATATCTGCTTCTATTATCCCACGTAATGTGTTCTTAGGCCTTCCTCTTTTCCGTTTCCCTTCAGGATTTCGAGTTAGGGCTTTTTTCGTGATGCAGTTTGACGATTTGCGTAATGTATGTCCTATCCATTTCCATAGTCTTTCCCTAATTTTTTTCAGCTGGATGCTGATTTCTTCTCTCCCACAAAAGGCTGTTGCTGATGGTATCCGACCAATGGATGTTGAGTATCTTGCGAAGACAGCTATTTATAAACACTTGTACCTTCTTGATGATGGTTGTTGTAGTTCTCCAAGTTTCAGCTCCATACAGTAGAACTGCCTTGACGTTCGTATTGAAGATTCTCACTTTGATATTGATTGAAAGTTGTTTTGAGTTCCATATGTTCTTCAATTGTAAGAATGCGACCCTAGCTTTGCCAATCCTTGCCTTTACGTCTGCATCTGAGCCTCCTTGTTCATCGATGATGCTTCCTAGATATGTGAAGGAAAAACGCGATTCCCTTAAATTATATATATATATATATATATATATATATATATATATATATATATATATATATATATATATATATATATATATATATATATGTATAACACTTTTTAAAGTATAATCTATTTTCTGTGTTTTCCATAACTTTAGAATCTACATCACCACAAGAGAATCGTTTTATAATTGTCAATCGTGGTATTTACAATCGACTGAATGCACTGATTCAAATACAGAATACAGAGAAAATGATAATAATGCCAAAACGTATTCAATGGTCATTAGGTTTGATTAATAACCGTAAAAATTCTTCGTTAAATCAGAAATTTATCGATTGTAATAATTTGATAAGCTCCTCATCATCACAACTAACTAATAAAACCAATCGTTCTATATCCTCTCTTGATAAAGAGTTATTAACTAATAGTGATGATAAACATAACGATGAGAATATTATTCATAATTCTAATCAAAACAGAACTGATAATCATGACGAAATCATTAACAATAATTTCTGTAATGGTTATCTAAGAGATTGGGTTGGATTGTCAATTTCTGATCATTACAACGATTTTAATCACAATTATCAACATCATTGTCATGTGAACTGTCCAACAATGAATAAGACATTGAATAACACATCGTCATCATCATTGTCATCTGCTGTTAATGGTAATGATAATTCCAGTATGAGAGCTGATTCATCTGTTACAGAACGTTCATCATGTATGGTAAACCCAAATGATCATTCAACCACAATTGATAATAATAATAATAATAATAATAATAATAATAATAATAATAATAATAATAATAATAATAATAATATAATGAATAGTATTCGAATTGCCTTTGTTCGTCGTGAGTCATCTGAATGCGGTGATGCAATAGCTCCATGTTTTCTTCAAAATAAACATTCACGTGAGTAATAAAAATAATGTAGAAAGATTTTTTACTTGAAGAGAGACCAAGAACAAAAATTTAAGCAGAATGAAACGAATTTACTTTATTTAACTAGATCTTGGTCAGTTGATTACAGGCTGTAATATTTAATTGATTTTCAAATATTACGATTTCCGTAAACAACCGAAGATAATTCAACGAAATAAAATGAATCCATGCTATTCTGCTTAAATTTTTATTCTTCCTTTCTTCTGGATAATAAAGAGAACTTTGTGTACAAATTTCCGACTCGTTAGTATAGTAGTCTCTTTATAGATATTTTTAACTACTGGAATAGTAGTAATAGTAGTGTATAATTCTGTAATGAAATTGTTTGGTGCGAAATTGAATTAGACTTTAAATAGACATTTTTCTCATGATTCGTTTGTTAATAATATAATAATGATGGATTACATCGAAAGCTCACTTATTTGGCGAGGTGAAGTAACTACTTAGTCTGATGTATCAACTAGGAATAATAGAACAATTTTACAGCTGGATCTATTTTTTTCATCTGAAGATTTATCATAGATATGTAAAAGAATATCTAACAGCATGTTTGTGTAAATCAGTGTTGAGACACGTATTAACTTCTACTTTATAGTCAGCTAGTCATACATAACATAGAACCTGTTAGGCATCTTCATAAGTTTAAGTTAACACACTATATCAGCATAGCGATGTAAAATTATCCCTGAGTGGTAAGAAGTAGTAACAATATCAGTAGTAATTGGAAAGATTAGGTATGGACGGAGTGGTTGGAGAAGGAAGTGTGAATCTGCGTCATAAAATGTATGAAATAATTTTAAAAATGAGGATATGGGAGAAGACAAATGTATTGACACCATTAAGATCAATTCTAAACCATGTCCTCCAACGTTTCCAACCATTCTTCACAGTGGGCTAGGCTCAATCACGTAATCTTCATCTACCAAGATAGCTCAGTTCAACTGTCAGTGACTTCATGAACTAATGCTGTGTCCGAAATTTAAAAGAGATAAAGTGGACTTTAGAGGCAAGTATTTAATTAGATGAACGGTAACCTGAAATTTCGACTGTTATATTGACTGGCAAGCAAAATAACGTAAAACCATGAACATGTTAGTTTAAGTTGTCAAGTATAATAACAAAGAGGGGTAGTAAAGATGAGGATGACTCGATTTGTGAAATACATAACTTTCGATGTCAGTTTATGATGAGCAGTAACTAGGTTTTGAACAAAATCCCTTTTATTTTAAAGAAAATTGTTTATTTTGATGAATTTAATTCTATTTCATTTTAAAAACTGTTTTTTTCCTTTCAAATTAACCAATTTCCTTTATAGCTGCTAAACTCCGTAGATCACGACTTCGTGGAACGGATAGCTTAGTTATTAAATTCAAAAGACACACTCTTTCAAGAAATTATTATCCTAGTGAATTAGTTCCTAATTCTATTGTGCAATATAATGAACAATTAAATTGTGATAAATTTTTCAATTCTAATACTACTTTTATGACTACCAATACTACTTCTACCATTACGACTATTAACACGAGTAATAGTAATGATAGTAGTAGCAATAATAGTCACAATAACAGTACTGAAAAACGTATGCGCTGTGATCAAAATAAAATTTTATGTATTTTAACTTCACCTCTTAACTATTCGTCAAATTATTATCCAAGGAATACATGTTATGATGGTTATCAGAATCATCCTCATCATTATCATCATAATAATCGTCTATTATCTCCAACTACACTGACCACATCATCTATTGCGTCTCGAGTGAAATGGGGAGCAAATTTAACATTATTATCTAATTCTCTTACAAATGATCATGATACCAATGACAATATACAAAAAAATTATCCTATAAATCATCAATATGATTCTGAATCAAATACAAAACAATTCAATCAATTTACTAATGAATTTAATACACATAAAATTTTTTTATCGCCATCATTGCCGTCATCTTCATCGTCAACAGTGATGCTTAGAACTTGTCAACATGATTTAGATAAGATAATTCTACATCCTAGACCTAGAATACCACCGAAACGTTTGGATTTAGCTAATCAAGATTTGGAATTAGCTTTGAAAAGGGTAAGATCTACTATTTTATTTTCTGGCTTCCCTATTTTGAATAACAAAATTATTATGTAATCGTTTTCTATTCTGGTACTATTTGATGTTTATTGTTTAAATTAGCCGTGATAGATGAAATACAGTTTCTTATTAAGGAGATGGGGAACGGTAAAGAAATTTCAAACTTCAGTTGAGTGCTATTAGGCGGGTGGTTTGATCAGCTTACGATTGTTAGTAGTAGTTAGAGTTATTTGGAAACTGAGTGTATACTATATGGAACACCAGAAAGTTCTATTTTATTACTCTTTAGTTATACTAACACTCTCTAGTTTATCCATAGTTAGGTATGAAAGCTTTGGGTTCCCTAGCAAACATCTCATGGAAAATTGTTTGTGAAAGATTTTGGCTATATATTGTCAATATTATGGGTGTGGTTGGTTAATGTTATGACTGTTATGACACTATTATATGTGTCTGGCCAGAAAAAAGTAGGTAGAATGAGGTTTAAATCTAAATTCAACTATTAAGCTACTTTTCGATCATGATGTAATACTGGTATAGAAGTTTATAGTGGAAAGTACCACACAAATTGATATATGTAGTCTATAACTAGAATGGAACAAATATTCGATACATTTTACTTTTCATTACTCTCTCATTAAGATTGCGATTATCATTAACGGTGATAGTGTGTTATATAGGGATCCATGACATATTTCTCCGTATATTTAAACCTACGACATAAATGTATCTTCGTTCCAATTTTTTGTACTTATTAATAATCAAACCAATCATCCGTATATTGAGATTTAAAGTTGTATAATCTGAATATAGAGACAGTTTCGAAAAAAATCATAGTACTCTTAGTTTCATCTGTCCTGTTTCAACATTTGAAGTGGTGAATTAATGCAAAGCTATTGCTACGGAGCGGAATAACCAGAGATAATTCCAACGATAACTTCTGTACCCTGTTCAACAGCTCTTATCTTTACCAGTCCAAAATACTCCAAAAGACAAATCGTGTTAAGATTGATTGGAAGAGATTAAAGAAAAATAAATTCACATTCATGCTAATTTAATAATATATCAAGTAATTTCAATGGTTTTTATTTACAGAATTTATCAAATAACTAGTCATTACATTCATGAGAAATATGAGTCAATAAATATAACGACATTCTTTAGGACTCAGCAAACTAACTTCATACGCATTGAATCAACACAAATGAAAATACACTGAAAATAGCGAACAGAATTCACCATAAATCAATATTTAAATTTTAAAATTGGTTTCTCCTTGAGTGTTGTATTTGGGAATTTATTATCCCCAGTACCTATATCCTACAATCTATCAACTCATATGATTCCTCACGGTCATAACATCGTTGAAATATTCATATTGGTAAACTTTACTGTTCAAAATCAATCAACATTTGTTATTGACGAGAACTCAACGACTTTAGGTAATGTGATGGGGAAATTTTGACCTAATGTAGAGAAAGCTTTTACGTTTGTGCACATATTAAAAAAAACCCCACTTATCTGGTTATATATCGTTTAGTTCCTTACATACCCCATAAACCGACTGGACTTCCCATTTACTCAATTTTACCCAAATATGTTAATTATTAACTTCGTTTCTGCTACATTATCTTGGTCACTTTTGTTTCTTTTCATCTAGTCGGGATAATCAGGTAAGATGACTACGGCCAACGGATATCTGTGTCAGGTTCTATGTTGATGACGTCAGTATATGGCTTCCTGTATGATTTCGATATTTCTCATTAGCTAATTTTATATAATTGAGTAGTTTGATACTTTATTAAAATTAGTTGTTGCTGACGTAATTTCAAAAGAATTTAGTTGAAGTATTTTTTTACGCATTTTTAGAGTCTTAGTGATTGCACAATGCAGTCATCTAATAAGAATTATCACAGTAGTTCAATCAAGAAATCTTTGGCTTATAAAGTGCGGTTAAATAATCAACATACTGGGAACAGGGATTCAACAAATAAAAATCTTGTGCGTCGAACGAAAGCAGTCCTACGCTCAAAAAGAAAACGTCACAAAACATTTAGTAATTCACGTCGTCAGAAATCCAAGGCTGGTAATGTTGTAAGTGATTCCGTTTTGCTAGAGGAATTTTATAAGCTTTAAATTCTTTCATTTTAAAATTATTTTCAGCAGACCATCCGAATCGTTCATAATTAGGAATTACAGTAAGGTACCTCAAAACTTAATGCTTGGATTGAAAGTATAACGTTTTTCTATAGGAACTATCAACATGTTGTTTAAAGATTATGTGTTTATTTGCAAAAATTAGGAATAATGTCACTTTTGACAATAATTGAATATTTTATTCGTGTGCTTTTAACACTCCTGAATGGTTTATATTTCATCTCTTTTCCATCTCTGCTTTTCTTCTTTGTAGAAAGGCCAAAGACATAAGTCTAGTGGAAATTCTCCTATTACTAATTCAACAGACAATAGTTTTGTTTCAAATCAATCACACATTGTTTCAGATGATTCTATAATTAATGATTTGAATGAGGATGGTGATCGACTGGTGAATGACAACCTATCACGTCTTCCATTGCCAAAACTTACTTTAGCTAAAAATAGTGTTGGTGAATTTAATGTAGTTGAAAATCGTGAAGAGAACACTGGCAAGTTTCTTGAAATATGTGATCGTAAAACTACTACTAATAACATAACAGTTACTAGTATGAGTAATGATAATATCGATAATTCAGTTCTGAATAGCTGTCAGGCAATAATTAGTCCGTCGTCGTTATCATCATCATCAACATCATCTAAAGTTACAACATGTAAATCTTTAAAACGGAAATCTGATAACAAACAGAGAGTAAATTGTTTGAATAATGACAGAATAGTGAATAAAATTCCTCAGATCAATTCGGAAGTTTTACAAGACTCCAATGATGTAGGTGATATTATTACTGATGAATTAGACCACAGCTCTAAAATGGTTATTAGCTCGGTAGATAAGCTTGAACAAATAACAACAACAACAACAGGATCTTTCAAAACTGATGAGGAATATTCTACATTTACAACGACTTATGAATATACACCTGTTATGAATTGTGTTGTATCGAATAAATCTACTGCAGATTCAACAAACCTATCGTCAGTGTCACCTCAGCAAGTAATACAGTGGGAAATTCCGAAATCCACTAGGTAATTCTTTATATTGATACATACATTTTTGTTTATTTGAAATATATGTCTAGATATATTTTCATGATGGGTTGTAATCCTTCAAGTGAATAGATTAATTAGTAAACTTTTATTGTCATTCTGGATAGCATTATATCCTATTTAAAATGAAAGATTCATTAATAAACCATTCAGTTTAAAGAACACACCATTGTCAAAACCATCCAGTTTAGCTATAAGCTTCTTTTCATTTCAAAATATCTTTAGATAGGACTCGTTTTTATCGAGAATTAGTTGCATGTATTCCTATGAAACTGAAAGGAATTCATCTTGTCCTTAAATATATATTTGTATAATCATTATATGCTCACTAGTGACTGGCTTTAAGATGGATTTCCTGGAGTTTTAGTGAGAACCAGTGGCCAGTGGAGTCCAATCTGTGTAGTGTAGAGAAAAGTATCTACCTCAGACAACGGATGAATGGTTGCGCAAGATGATGTATGGACTGAAGTTAGACATTAACAACATTGGATGCCTGCCCAATGATCTACAGGCTAATCGTTCTCACGCGAGACCGAAGGTCCTGATTTTGAATCCCACATACGGGATCGTGGATGCGCACTGCTGAGAAATTCCACACTATGACAGAATGGCCACCGAGTGCTTTCAGGTTTTCAATGGTGGTTTAGCTTAGATCGACTCATGAATTCAACTATTAAAAATTACTACAATCTCCACAATCCCCTATTTGGATAATAACTTAATTTTGGCATTAACTTTGAAGCTGTTTAATATTTTATTTGTTAGGCAAAATAAAAGTGTCTATATCATTTTAGCCGCCAATATTGTCTCAGCATGTTGAAATCCTGTCACAAATGATAATAGATTTATTATCATTCATTATTTTTTTAATGAATGAGATTTCGGAAAATAGAATTATTTGGATTAATGACCATATTTCATGTTGAATTGATGAGATGAAGTCAAGTTTTGAAATCAGGGAGTAAATTATTAATTAAAAGACAATAATCGATTAGTGTAAATACTCTAGTCCTATGTTAAGTTATTTACCTCATACTATGAATAATTTAGCGTTTGTATCACTGATGGATGGTTTTAATTTAAATATATGAAATTTTTTGGTTCTTGTTTAAACTGTATAGGTTCATAAACTTTAATTTTGTTTTGGTAATCTGCTTTTACGGTTTTATTTTATCACAATATGGTTACTAGATTTTACTTGGTATATATATTTTTTTGGTTCTCTGATATACCGAAAACTATTTATTCTGATTAAGAAATAAGACTTGAAAATTACAGGTATAATTCTGTGCAAGTTAAGTGATATTATGTTAGGTTGATTGATTAAGACTTATATTAACAATATATTGTCATACTTATTAATTGTTGGATAATCTAGAGATTAAATATATTATGACATGAACTATTTTATGCTCATATTAATTATAGTCATTAGATTATATGGAGTCTTCCAGTGACTAGTTCACTTTATACTGATTAGGCCAATAATTTTCTCTAGTAGCATAATGATCATAAAAAATACAACTGGATATCTTAACACTTATTGGTCTATATAGATCCTTTTGTTCTTGATGTTCAGTTAGAAGACGAGAATAACAAATAGCTTTGCCTTATATTTATGTATTAGTCCAGCACTGACTTGAAAACTCACAGGATTACGTACAACAATGACATGGCTACAACACAATACAAATAAGTGATTATATATATATATATGACAAATCACCTCAGAATAGTACCGAAAGTCCCAAATATTAGTATCGACCTAACAGTATGCATATAAACTAATCTTTCAATTACTTCTTTTTAGCCATTGCTGATAGTTTACAAGGTGAGTAGTTATTTAGTTAGTTTGCTTATTCATCTGCTTTTTTTTTCTACTAAAAATAGTCTGTTTCATTGTGTAGATACATCTAGTAGAAGTTCTTATTTTACTACGTTGTTTATTGCTTTCTTTTTCATTTTCCTATTAATAGTTTGACTGATAATTCCAATGCATTAGGATTTGTACAATCTGTAGTACATGTAAGTAAACCATGTTTCTTTTTAACCTGTTTATATAGCAAAAAAATATGGTTTCGTTTAATATTCTTAATCTTTACATCATAGTTTTCATTTTGCTTTGCCTAATAGACAGATTTTTCAGCCCAGGATAATTTTTCATAGTTAAAGTTTGGTGGTGTTTGTTTTAAGGAATATCATTAACTTATTTCATAGCATGAATTATTTGAAATCAGATTAGTATATCGATAAACTTTGAGTGGTTTAAAGTTGAAGTAACACACATTTAAAACTGTAGGGAATATGTTTTCATTCTACCATTTTTCGAATAAAGCTGGGAATGTCAGGTGTTAAGACTAGATTCAGTTTTATTCAATGTCGGGTACTTAGTTTTGATTCATATGTGTTTGTTGTTTGGATCTTCCCATTGATATCTTAGAACTGCAATTGATCAGTCTTTTTTGGTATGTGCTTGTAGCTATTTGATCGATTACTTTGTGTGAATCAACAAAATATAGCAGTTATTATCAATCGACTTGAGTGATCGTCATGCTACGTCGCAAATCGATTGAAGTTAGAACCGTACCACTGGACGCCAGCCCAGTGGTTTCAATGGTTAAACGTTTACTGTGAGAACCAGAGGTAGCATGTCCGATTCTTGGTGGGATCGTGAGTAACCACTAATAAGAAGTACTATAATATAACGAAATAAATGTTCAATCCCCTTTGGTTTTCAATGGCACTCCAAATGAGATCAACCTGTGACGAATACCACTTATCCTTAATAGTTATTTCACTAAAAACACTGTATTTGACTCTAACTAAATCGATGAATATTGTTGACCACTTCCGTTCATATGAATTTCCGCATAACATTTTTACTTTTGACGACTATTCGCTGATTTTTATGTGGCTGCTTTTTTATACTCAACCTTATTCATTCACTCTGTTTTTCTTTTTCCGTCTCACTCCCATAGAATACATTGGTTACTCCTTCTTTTGCTATAACAACAACGCCAACCACACCTAATCAAATCTCCTGTGGTCATTCCATAAATTTCACTAACCAACATCAAAATAGCTCACATTTATCTCCAAGTACGTTTTAGTTATTTTTCCAGTTTCATATGAAAAAATTAGCATACCTTTCTTTTCATCTGTAATACTTTACATTTTATATGATTATGTAAGAAATAATATTTCCAATATAGGGTTGTGGATATTGTTGAGTTTGAATCGATATCGTGAATGAATCAGTGTTAGACATTAACGCTGTTGGACACTGGCTGGGTGGTCTAGAGGTTAAGCGTTCGTGTGCGTGACGGAAGGTCCTATGTTCGAGTCTTTTTGGTGTGGGATCGTGGATGTGCACTGCTGAGGAGTCCCATACTAGGACAAAACGTCCATTGAGTGATCCCGGGTTTTCAATGGTGGTCTAACATTGATCCATTCATGATACCAATTAAAAATATTATTTTATTTGCTCTTAGTTTTGATTGTGTCAAAAAAGTTCATGGATAAATCAAACTTTCAATGTACTAGTAGTATGCAACTTTGTAAATCAAAAAAATTACATTTTTTAATCTTATATTTTGGGACTAGTTTATACTATTCACTTCTGGTCTGAATTGACACTGTATTACAGTTGATCACTTGAGACTTTTAAACTGTCTTGGTGTAAACAGACTAGATATTGTAAACGGAACTCCAAATGTATTTATAATTCTTTTTAATAATAAATCGGTTTGATTTCCATTATATTATACACCTGGTTATGTTAATGTAACACATACAAATAAAATGAGTCAAGCTGTCTATCCACAGGTGCCTTTTGTTCTCTAATATAGGAAATCATGCGGGATTACTATAAAACGGTATGATCACTAAGGTTGATGGATTTCTGAGGAATCCTATATCATCTATGTAGAATAGCAGAAACCAACCACTGAGTTGACTGTTCTTGTTCTGTTTATTCATTTATCTTATCTTATTTTCCTTTATGACCACTTTATGGGTTCTTCCTCTTAACTTCTATGTGCTGTAATTTGAATCAGTCAATCACTGTATCAGAATTTACTCTGATCCATTCATCCAATTAGTAACCACTTATCGATGGATGCTTATATACTATGTCTAAAGCCTCTATGGATTATAGAAACCCTTAAGTGATAGTGCAGTGAACAGGAACACGAGTGGGGACGGTCAAATGCATACCACAAGAAATTACAGAGTATCTCAATAAAATTTGAGAACCATATAGTAAATAGCTAATTTGCAAAATATTAATCCATAGAATCAAATTTGACTGTTCCTTTGCAAATATCAGTCCATTGTCTCAGATTTCATTGTTCATGCATTGTCCTACCAATTGCGTCCCGTTTCTGTTCTTTCCTTATCGATCTTCTACTGAAATACATTCTATACCTAACCACCCTTATATACTACTTATATGGATATAAGTAACCCACACCACAATAGTAGTCACTAAGACAAATCCAAATAGTTATTTCGACCCAACTAATTTATATCGCACAATTTTAGTCTAGCTGTGTTCTCTGAACTGAGTAGTTTAATCGTGAAGCTTACATTGCCTTTTTGTAATATTTTAATGTTTTTGAAATCGATTTGATGGTTGTTGAAAATGGCATGGTTTGTTTGGATTGAATAATGATAAATTTTAACTGTTTATACTCGCACGGTATTACGAATGACTTACAACGTATCGTATTATTAAATACCAGAAATTTCAAACAGAAACACTAAACTTGTATGCGTATTCTCCTACTCGTCTACCATTTGAAAAAGAAAACGAGAGATCAATATAGTGGAAATCAAACATTCAATATCTAGCGGGTGAGATGGAAATAGTTGTAGCATTGGAATTAATAGTATAATCTCATGACTGATAATAAGTAGAAGATATTGACTATCGAAAAGACATGTATGGAATATAATTTCTGAATAATTCCAATTTGGATGTAAAATAGAAAATTGATTCAATACTGTACAATGGATTCAGAGAATTATTTACTGTGACTAGGTTTACAGTACTGAACGGAGCTGATACTATTATTGTTGCTATTCTTACCATAAAACCTTTTATTCTCCTTATTTAAATTATTTTCCGTACATTATCTCATAGTCCCTCACAAATGATGATACTAGTTTCTCATTTTAGTTTATCTCTTCTTAACTGACTTTTATAAAGCTGTTTGTAAACTTGTGGTCGCTTTAACTGGTGTATTACTGTTCTAGAATTAACGTTACTTTTTTTCACGCTTCTATTATTAACAATTTTTTCATCGTCGCTAACTGAACTTCCCTCTTGGTTTGTTTATTTGCTTATTTACTTCTATGGAAAACAAAACCTCTCTATTATTAGGATGTTTCGAAAATTTTCAGTCTGACCAAATCTGTTTTAATCGGATAGAATGATTCAGATCGCTTAGCTGACGATTTATACAACTTACTGAATCATGTTTTCTGAGCTACAAATTCTGGAAAAATATTAACTATCATCCAGCATGATTTATACTATATACTTACATGTCTATTGATCTTCGGGTTTATGTTTTGCTTGGAAATTGGTACTTTCTATTTAGAAAATCCATTTTGCTGTTTTTGTGGTACTTTTCTGTGGATTTTAGTCTAAAGATAACCTCACAATCGTGACTAGTTTTACATTTGTCTAATTTGGGCATCATATTTATTATGTTCAGATGTCAATGTTTTGGGTTAGTCGGGAGAAAACTCTGGACTTAGTGGTAATTGACACTTATTGGGAAGGCATACCTGGAATTTTGTGGGAATTGAGTATTCATTTGGGATTTAAATCCGTGTTATCAAGTTTTCCAGTCCGAGACGTTACCACTGAGATATTTGGATTTCAAGAATTTTCTGAGAGATATTCCGTATCATGATTTCCGTTCAAAACATTGTTAATTTCTGTATATGTTCACTAATTTAATTTTTTATCACCTAAACATACTGCAGTGATATCAGAGTTTTAAAAAGTAGAGAACATGATAAAGTTTTCTTTATTTATCACTGCAAACAAACTGTACTCACATATGTGAGAAAGTCTCGATTCCCAAGACAATAATAATCTTTAATCTTAGTAATTGTTCAGGGATTATATCTGTTACTTGTCAGATGTTTATAATTGTTTATCCTCTACTTATAATTTTAGTTCATCCTGTCACCATGTGGAGTCGTTTAACCAACCCTTTGCCAGCTCCAGATCCTCCAACAAAATTATTTAATACTAAACGTGTTCCATTTCAACATCCTCCTCAGCTTACTCCTACTATAATTGATCATAAATTTCAACAATTCCCAGTGATTGGATCGGGTAATTCTATTTGTAACACTCAAGGAATTCCACAAACACTAGTCACAAACCATTTGCCTTATCATATAACATCGAACTCCACGACTATTCCAATCGATTCAGTCGTTCATTTGCCTACTGATGTATACCTAAAACAAAATATGAATACTAATGTAGTGGGCTTGGCCACAAATCCTTTACAATATTCAACATTGTGTAATCCTAGTCCTTTAAATGATTTGAATTCTAAACAGTTTTTGCAAAATTTGAATAAAATTCAATTGAGTAGTCAACTTTATTCCCCTTTTCCTACTCCTATGCATCTGTCTCTACCTCCACCGCTCTTTCCAACTACTCAATTCTCACTAGTATCGTCTTCATCATCACCAGCAGTCTCATCACCTGTCTTCAGTAGTGGAAATCAAATTCATCATTGGCCATACGCAAATTTCCTATCAAATTCAAACATTTCCAAATTAACCGGAAATATCCCTGTAGGTTATGATACTACATCATTATTAATGCCTTCTGGAAATCCAATATTAAATAATTCCAACAATAGTAATAATATTCAAAATGGTTTCTTATCATATCCTTTTTTACTTGCTAATTCAACATTTACAAACACTGGACAGCTGAACTTATGTAGTTCAACTCCTTTGCTAGGAGCGTGTCCATCATCTTTGCAATCAGTGCTTGGCGCATCATGCATTCTTGGTGCACAGAACCTTAATAGTAATAATAACAATGATACCCATGGTCACAATCGTGATACTCTTCAAAATTGCATCTGGCTTCCTTAATCTTATTGATAAACTTTTCTAAGTGTATTGTAATTCAGTAGTTAGATAGATATACCCGTCTTTATTTGCTTCGGAGTGCATACGTGCCTACTAGCCTGTTTTTGTATGCTTATGTGATTAACTGTATTATAAATATTATGATATATATGTCAATAATAGCAATTTTTCCTTCAAATACAAATGAGCATGTAAAGATTTACAAAATAGTTGAGAAATGTATATGCATGACAGGAATATATCTTTGTTCACTTTCTACATATATTTCTCTATTTTGTTTGTATATGTGTATTTTACCTGGTCTTCACTTATACCCTGGTTTATTAATTTACCATGACAGTCGTTTTCTTTCTTTCTTTCTTTCTCTCTCTACAATATATGTGTTGGTTTAGCTGTATTTATAAAGAAATAGAGAGCTATTGAAATACACTTAAACTTCATGATTTTCTTTTGTTGCGTTGTGTTTTATATATATATTCATAAGCTGTACAAGATAGAAATGGTTTAAGTGAAATTATTTACCCGAATTTTTTGTCAAATGTTTGAATATTTACCAGTATGATTTCTCGTCAGGGTCGATTAAGCTCATCCGCTTTGAACGTTTAGAACTTATGCTTCTGTAATTCTGTCAGTAATTAAACTACGAAACGATATCCCAAGATACCGAACTCAGGGAGTAGTTATTCGATAACATATATGTATGTGTATTCATTTATTAGGTGAACTTATAAACTAGGAGAAGTGCAATGTTTAATAATATATAGCTCACCATCATTCACGTTATTCGGTAGTATTTCTTACTGGAATATCAAATCTTCATTTCTTACTTGGTTTATTTTATCTACTCATTTAACTTGAATAGACTAATTAGCTTGACGGTTACATGTTTACTATCTGCCAATAAATAACTTACATTATGGTGTCAATTCACTCAGATTACTGGCCACATTGTAAACTTGGCAAACAGAACTCCGTAATTACTGAAAACCAGACATTATATTGATTGTTAACCAGTGACTGAGCTGTATGAACTACTTACTGTGTATAAATGTTTATATCAATAAATGAATTAATTATTTTTGCATTGATAATCAGTTTGAATCAGATCATAGTGGACTTGAACATTGATTATCAACTAACGATTGTAGATAGTTGAATTCACTGTGTTTATATTTATAAATCGAATTATGAACACAGCTGAAGAAATATTTGTATTCGACGTGAAACTGCACACTATTATTTGCATTCATCAACTAATTGGGATGTGATAACGTTAGAAAAGACAGACATGAGTTTATGTGCCAAATAATTTAATGAACATTGAATAATAAATATTCTTACATGACGCCAAATGTCATTATATGTGTCTAGAAAGAATTCATTGTTTTCAGTTTACAATACTACTGATATTATTCATTCCTATGTTATCAAAACATTATAGTCACTGATGGATTTCTGATCAAAATAGAATATTTGATTTTATTTAGCTGAGCGTCTACTTAAATCGTCGTCATACTATTTTAAATCTAGTGGTTATTACTTAAATTACTTGGAAAAGCACTTTATTTTCAACTATTATCTATATTTAAAGTGCAGCCATTTACATCAAAATGATTATTGCTTGTAAGTGGATGAACAACAGTGTTGATATGGGTAGCAAATCAGAAGTAGCGAATGACCGATCGGTAGCAATGAAAAGTGAACTGAAGGTCAAGTGCATTTTGTTGGGGTCAATGGAAACGTGTATGTTGACATACATACATACATACATACATACATACATACATACATACATACATACATGCATGCATGCATACATACATACATACGTACATACATAGTCGTAATTCTGACGTTATGTGACTTTAGAACAAGACAAACTAAAAGAAAAAGACACTATAATAAGTATCCTACGTTTTAATAATTTTCCTAAGAATATTATTAAAAACTTATTAAAATAAAACAGTCTGTCTGTAAATAACAATCCTAATGAAAGATCTTTGATTGGTACTGTGGTTTTATCCCACCGCCAAGGTACGACAGAAAAATTTCAACAGATATTCAAGACGCACAAAATTAAAGCTTTCTATAAGACAACTAACACTTTAAGAAACACTAGTTAGAATTAAAGATAAAATTCCATCCATTTCTACACAAAGTTGTGTCTACAGATTGTGATGCGTTCTATATTGGAAAGTTTTGCTATGAGATCTCCACTCGGTTTAAGGGGCACTTAAGTTACACAAAAGACCTAATAATCCTTTAGAATTGGGAAACTTACAGGTCACATCAACAATATCACTACATGCTATTTTTAATAATCACCAAATTGATATTTAAAATATCAAAATAATTCAGAAAGGCTTTTCCAACTACAAAGAGATGTGAGTAGCCGAAGCGTTTCACATTATGCTAAATCGCTCTATCCTCAATTGGAAAGAATGTCTTAATATTCATCCAACTTGGACTATTTATCCAAACAACCATATCTAATCCTATCCAATTTCCATATAATCTATAGACATACACACACACATACCGAATTTCAACCTCACTACTTGACTTTACAAATGCATACATTCTTTTCATATCCACACACAATCATATGAGTAAAAAGAATAGTTTTTTGACAGATTTAAACGGCTGCTGTAGAGTTGACGAAGAATCATCACTGGAAATTCTGTTGAAACAAACCTGAGTATAACAATACTTGTAAATAATAAGTTTTATTAAAGAATCATATTGCAAATAGATTATTGTGGAAGATAGTGTAATGTTATATGCTATATTAAACTCACATAGTTTATTCTAGCTTGTGGACAAGCCAATATACATTCTTCTTAAACCATATTTTGACTTTGTCATTTATTGGCCCATTTATTATGACTGTTTTTAGATTAGTGCGTAGTGACCTACTTTTATCAAGAGAACGCGATCGGTTTAATGGAAACACTTATTATTATAACCAATTGTACCAGTGATTGTTTTATTGTACTTGTTTGTTTAACTGTGCCAAAAACGCTCAGTAACCACACTTGTAACCTAGCACGATCTCGGTGTTCTTTCGATACCACGAGATCGCCCACAAATACATCTCGACTACAGCCATCAACTACCTTCTGATATTTGACCTACGGGGGATCTTATCGGTTAACTGGCACGTAGTCTTCCTGTAGGGGTGATTACAGTCAACTGCGACTCGACGCCACACTACAAGTGCGTGTGTGTGCACAACTTATCCTACACATCACATGTTTGTAGCTTATTTTCATCTGGTTATAAATATTGATTAACGCTTGAATAAATCGAGTTGGCTTACTTGCCTTCTCCGATCCGCTTTGCTCTTCCCTCTTTGTTTCGTCTCCCTGATTGCTTGTTCAAAGCGATGAGTTCATGAGGTACACATATGCAAAATCCATTCTCGTATTTTTTCTATTTAATTCCGTTATACACTAACACGAGTTAAGTCGATGATTATGTACGAGGATAGACGACATGTGCTTTGTTCAATAAAAATTATTCATACGATCCAAAGGAAGTCAGATATGGACCCATTAAATTCCTTATCAGTCGTATTAGGGGTAAGTTACATATAATCCTTCCACTCAGAGCCTTTTCATGAGAGTGTTATACCTGAACTTGAATGATAATATTCACAAGCTGTCACTTACACAGATTACATCTTTCAGTCTATCTAATAATGGTTTACGATATCATACTCTTTCGTCTTCGTTATCACTGAAAACGGGAAGCCCACAAAGACAAAAGTAGTTTACTGGTCGTAAACCAAAATCTTACCTAGGGACCAACGAACTTAACAAACAAATTGTGGGAAAAATTCCCCAAATTAATAGATAATAACATCTCATCCCTTAAGAGTATCCAAACGTGTGGCTAAACGGTGTACTCGTAATTCCAGGATTACTATCACCCTTCTATGCAATTATCACTCTGATTCGAAAAATCAAGACAACTTCCATTGGACTATAGACGTATCAGGCTCACCAGTATCTTAGTTAAAATGATAGAAACAATAATCAAAAAGGCCTATGTAACCACAGTGAAAACCAAAAACTTGTTTAAAAGGGAAAAAATGGCTCCAGGAAAGGATTATCGTGGATAGTAAATCACTTTATTGTAAGAAGAAGAGACATGGATGAAGTCGAGATACTTACAAACTCAACGAATTCAAGGTAGCTCTCGACAACAGGTTCCAAGCCTTACAAGATCTACTGAAGAAAGAAGAAACTACTATGGAGGACAACTGGAAAGGTATCAAAGAAGCATTAACTTCAACGTATCAAGAGGCTCTGGGCCTAAATTAGCACCATCATAAGGAGTGGATCTCTATAGAAACACTGGACAAGATCAAAGAAAAGAAGAACAAGAAGATAGCAATTAACAACAGCCAAACACGAACAGAGATAGTCCAAGCACAACTGAATACATAGAAGCAAACAAGCAAGTGAAGAAAAGCAATAGAGCCGACAAGAAGAAATACGTGGAAGAACTAGCAACAACGGTGGAAAAACCTGCAAGGGAAGGAAATATGAAACAACTTTACGATACAACGAAGAAACTAGCAGGGAAATACAGTAAACCAGAGAGACCGGTCAAAGACAAAGAAGGCAAGCCAATCACTGAAATTCAACAACAGCGGAACAGATGGGTAGAATACTTCGAGGAACTCCTGGATAGGCCGGCTCCAATGAATCCACCGGACATCGAAGCGGCACACACAGATCTTCCTATAGACGTCAACCCACCAACGAAGGAAGAAATCAGAATGGCCGTCAGACAAATCAAGAACAGGAAAGAAGCAGGACCCTACAACATACCAGCTGAAGCACTGAAGTCAGACATCAAAGTAAATACAAACATGCTTCACCTTCTATTCAAAAAGATTTGGGAGGAGGAACAATTGCCGATGGACTGGAAAGAAGGACACCTCGTCAAGATTCCAAAGAAAGGAGATCTGAGCAAATGTGAAAACTACAGAGGCGTTACACTACTGTCAATACCAGGGAAAGTCTTTAGCAGAGTGTTGCTGAACCGGATGAAAGATGCAGTGGACGCCCAACTTCGAGATCAACAAGCTGGATTCCGTATGGATCGGTCGTGCACAGACCAAATTGCGACATTACGGATCATGTTCGAACAATCAATTGAGTGGAACTCATCACTGTACATCAACTTCATTGATTATGAAAAAGCATTTGACAGTGTAGATAGGAGAACGTTATGGAACCTTCTTTGACACTACGGAGTTCCTGAGAAGATTGTCAATATTATCCGGAACTCATATGACGGACTACAGTGCAAGGTCGTGCATGGAGGACAGCTGACAAATGCATTCCAAGTAAGGACCGGAGTAAGACAAGGCTGTTTACTCTCTCCCTTCCTCTTTCTTTTGGTGGTCAACTGGATTATGAGGACCCCGAC